TGAAGTAGAGTTGAGTAGGTTACCTGTGACGTCAGTATATGAAGGGATAGTCCGAAATCGGTGTTTTTAAAAGCTAAAAAACATCTTTTTGACTGTGGGCTCTGGTTTTTTGTGACGATAAGTGACAGACGTGATGTTTTTTTTTATGGATGACCCCCGAAACCCACAGTTATCCAAGGGATGACGGGTAGTGTATTATGGTTATAAAATCCTGCCTGTCTGTTTTTTTTTTCGGACTTTACTAAAGATTGGATGTATTTGATGTTTTTAATATTTTCGGTAACTAAATAAAAATTTAAAAAAAAAGCAAAAACAGTTTGGTTTCACGTGTAATGGCGACATAAACAATGGCATCCTGCTATTCGATAGGCCGCCATAAATTTTATTGTACACATTGTAAGCTTAAAAAAGGAAAACTAGGTCATGGGGTTTAAATTTGCATTGTTATTTAAAAACTTGATCTGCAAAGTTTTGTAAACAAAAACACTATAAAGTGGGGCTGTCAGAAATCGATCACGGAGTTCCTGTACAGCCAATCAATGTTTGTCTTACGAAAGTGAAATATCGGGTTATAACTTAGGCTTGATGAAAATAAATAGAAATGTAGCCTTAAACTCAAGAAATTATTTTTCAAGTTCTCTGGATCTGCAACTTGTATAGCATTGATTCTAAAAATATTAAATTTCTGAATTAAGTTTAGGCTTAAGTTTTTAATAAAATTTTATCTTTTATTATTTTTACGGTCCTAACTCTAAAACAAGTTAATTAAAAAGTCTAGTGACATTTAAGCGCAATTTCCTTATGTTATCTAAAAATAGCTCTGTCGTAGCGTAAATCAAGAGCAGGGTTAGTAAAACCATTGGTTAGTTATTAAAACGTTTTTTATTTTAAAAAATTCAGTATTTTACATGTTTTATTTACAATAGAGTTACATGACTAAAAACCATTGCGCGCCTACTGAACGTGATGACGCAGCCATTGAACGTGATGGCACAGCTATTGAACGTGATGACGCGTGTGGTGTGGTTGGATAAATATGCCTACTAATTCGGTCCAAAATTTTAATTAATTCAAAAAAATTTTTTGTGACCGAACGAAAGGATATTTTTGAAAACTTTCTTCGGCAATATTGTTCTAAATTATGGCAGGAATCGATTGGTACATGTTTCAAGTCGCTAAGTGGTCTGGTTGCCGAGATATGGGCAAAAAACTGCTTTTTTCGAGGTTTTTTGGCTTTTCCGAGAAATCCATGAAAGAAACCCGGAATTTTTATGGCCTATGTTCATCCTCGTAACTTGCTTAACATAATTGCTTTTGGAACTAGTCCTCGATATTGCTTCGTTGAGGAGGAGATACGACTTAAAGCTGCGGACACACATCCATCCATCCATCCATTCATTCATACATTCATACATCCAGAAATGACGGGTTAATAAACGCAATTCTCCAGAATGGAAATTGCGCTAAAAAGCACATTTTATTCCATGCCAACAACATTACGGAAGGATTTTCGTCAACTCACTGATGTCCATTACGTATTGTACAGCTCTACACATAGTGCAGGTTCTCTTCTGTAACCAAACGGACAAACAAACAAAAAAATTCGAACATGTAAACAAACTTGAGTTTTAGTAGTGTATAGATTATATAAAAGCTTGTTATTAAAATGTTTTTTATGAAATATTTTTTTTTGTACTTTACATGTTTTATTCACAATAGAGTTACATGACTAAAAACCATTGCGCTCCTATTGAACGCGATGACGCCCTATTAAACGTGATGACGCATGTCTAATAGCGCGGAATATTTTGATAAGACAGCCTACTAATTTGGACAAAACTTTAACTAATGGAGACAAGCGAGTTGACGAGATTCCTTCCATAGTGTTGTTGTCATGGAATAAAAAGTGCTTTTTAGATTTAGACCGTAAAAAAAAATAAAAAATAAAAACTTAAGCCTAAAATTAATTTAGAAATTTTATATTTTTGGAATCAATGCTATACAAGTTGCAAATCCAGAGAACTAGAAAATAATTTGTTGAGTTTAAGGCTACATTTCTATTTATTTTCATCAAGCCTAAGTTATAACCGGATGTTTCACTTTCGTAAGACAAATATTGATTGGCTGTACCGTAACTTAGTGATCGATAACTATTTGTTTACAAAACTTTGCAGATCAAGTTTTTAAATAACAAGGCAAATTAAAAACCCCATGACCTAGTTTTCTATTTTTAGCTTACAATGTGTACAGTAAAATTTTTGTCGGCCTATCCAATAGCAGGATGCCATTGTTTATGTCGCCATTACACGTGAAAACCAAATTGTTTTTGCTTTTTTTTAAATTTTTATTTAGTTACCGAAAATATTAAAAACATCAAATACGTCCAATCTTTAGTAAAGTCCGAAAAAAAACCAGACAGACAGGATTTTATAACCATATTAATTGTAACTACGCCGTGCAAGAATTTTAAATTAATTTATACACCTCTCAAATACCTTTGAGACTTTTCTCGCTTGTGTCCATTCATAAAAAAGTAATCAGGCAACCAATTAAGTCAAATTTAATGTCATGTTGCATTGTCGTCATGTCTTGACCCACGTACCAACTACTAACCGTATATGTCAGTTAGAAGTGCCCACAATCTCGCTCAGGCTTTTCTACCTAGACGGATGAATGACGGACGACAGACAGAGGAAGTGAGTAAAATAAAAGCTTGTAATAAAAAGTGACGTATTTCCGTGAATAGACATTTGGATATTTAATCGCACATATAAAATCAACTTTGTATCCGCATTCAGGGTTAGGGTTAGTGTTGGGTTTGGGTTGGAGCCAGGGTTAGGGTTAGAGTTAGCTTTAAGGTGAAGGATAAATACAGATCTTTTCATGTAAGTTTTTAGTGACGTTCCAATTTCACTCTTTTCACTAAAAGCTTAGTGTGTAAGTTTCGTATACTGTTTTTTTAAATAATTTATTTTTGGCGTCGGGTTTGGGGGGGGGGGGGGTTAATTTTTGGCGGAGCTTATCTGAACAAGATCCTAATAAAGTAGTAATAACGCATTGGTGTGCATGTGTGAGTGGTTACAATTCCTCCTACCCCCACCCCCACCCAATAACATACGTCACTGCGAGTAATTTCGTCCTACCTGGTGTCAACAAGAGCCCGAGAAATGCTCGATTATATATCATTCTGGCTTAAGAGCATTCCTTTAGACCCGGGCTCTCCAAACTTTTTAGCCCGAAGGCCGCATTAACTATCAAAAATCAGTTCGGGGGCCAGAGTTTTTTCCAGGCATCTCTTCGGGATGGTAGAGACTGACCCCCCCCCCCCCCTCCCGAAGAATGTCTACTACCTCCCCCACGAAATATAATTTATATAGAAATAAATACAGATTTCAAGTGTCATCGTCAACCCCCTCCCCCCCGGAGAAAAAAGTCGGAAAGAAACACTATCGGGTGCAGACAACACACTCCAGGTCCAAGATTGTCCTCATAATTGTTCTTCACGTATTTCATTCTTGAAAATATTTGCTCCCACAGGTATTTTGTTGCAAAATTTGAAAGGTACTTTGATGCAAAAAACAAAACGTATAAAAAAAACCACCAGTCCTTCTTTTAACTAGTCTCTAAGGATGTCATTTGCTTACAATTCAATGACCTTCAGCTGCAGTTCATATGGGCAACTAGCCACATTTGCTTCAAATGGGTTTTGAAACAGTCTCACTTCTTCTGCCTTTGAATCCAAGTCAGAAAACTACTACTGAAACTGCAGCTGGGGGTCTTTGATGATCTTGCATGCAAATGACCAGGTTGACAGCTTTTGCTTCAGCTATGAAGACCTTGCACTGCTGAAAGTGCGTCAAGTTGTTGGCCTGTACTTGTTCCGAAAACATGACAAGTTTGGATCAGAAGGCCTTTAGGTGGGTGTATAGATCGGAAACTAGATTTCCCTCTCTTGTAGTTTTAGGTTCAGAAAATTTAAATGACGTGTTATGTTTGCAGCAGAGGCCGATTTCTATACTTTTCAATAGACATTAACGGCTGTGGCTTGCCTTTATTTTCCAGGAAGTCACCTATTTCCTTTCTTAACTTAAATACTCTGCTCAGAACTTTCTAACTTTCTTAACCATCATCAGAGTTTCTTCCAGGCATCTCTTCGGGGGGGGGGGGGGGCTAAGCCCCCCCCCCCGAAAATTTTTTACCGCCCCCCCCCCCCCGAACGAAATGAAATTTATATAATTTATATAGAAAATATATAGTTTTAACAGTGTCCGCCGCCCCCCCCCCCCCCCCCCCCGAAGAAGAAAGTCTACCGCCCCCCCGAAAATTTTAAGTGCCCCCCCGGAGAAAAAAGTCTGGAAGAAACACTGACCATCATTCTGGTAAATCATGCGATGTTGTGTTTGTATCTTTCAAGATCTCTCTGAACTATATATAGTAGAGCCCATGTGAATATAAAATTCACCATCTTCATCACAGGATTCACTACACTGCTATGTCCACATATTAAGCACACGAAGCTTGCTGGTGAATAAATAATACAGTGCAGGAACATTGGTTGTAGAATGTTTTTCTCATTACACATCTGCTTCGCTTGTCCAACCAAGCCTTTCCTTTTGCCCTTCATGTTTTTTCCTCCACCAACAGTCAGGCAACTGAGGTTAGTCCAGTCCAAGTTATAAGCAGCAAATGTTTTTTTTTCAACTCATTGAATATATCATCTCCGGTAACAGTGTCATACAAACCAGCTCTTGTGTTATGTTCATGTCTTCATCCACACCTCTAATAACACAAGCAGTTGAGAGGTGGAACCGCTGTCCAGCGACTCATCCATTGCAATTGAAAAAACGGTAGTTGCACCCAAAGATACATTTTCAAATTGTTTTAAATTTTCTGGGCAAAGTTCAACAGCCACCTCTAACAAACATTTATTTTCCGTGGACAAAAAAATCTCCGCAAGCCGGATGCGAGGACCTCGCAAGCCGCATCCGGCCCGCGGGTCGTAGTTTGGAGACCCCTGCTTTAGTCCACTATGGAGAGTGAAAGATGGATAAAGAAGGAGATGGAGAGTTTTCCTTTACTAGTTTGCGTGGCTTTAATGCAGAAAGAGTGAAAATCTTAATAAGTTAAACTAGAGGGGTTTCGGCTTGGTGTGCTCGATAGTGACCCTCACTTGTCTCAGTGCAGACATAATTTGTCGGTTAACTCTTCTGGGTTTCTATAACTTCATTTTTCCGAAAAAGGATTTACTAGGCAGATGGTAAGTCAGTCATTTATGTGCTTGCTTTCATCTCCACCCCCCCCCCCCCCACACACACCCACCTCTAATCTTCACACCATAAACTTCGTTAGTAATGAGATTTTTTGCTGCTAAGCGTGAAGAAACATATTATGAAAAACTATATGTATGTTTATTATATGTAAGTGAATGATAATGCTAGTGTTTATGTATTTGAATGTGTAAGAATGAGATCAGCTTTCCAAAGGTTAAAATTTCCAAACCAATAGAGAACCTGTACACGCTGCGCACGTAGTCGTGTACTAAATCTGCTTGTCGACAATCAATATCCAGTAAAAAAAATCGATGAAACAGCCGGAACTGTGTGAGGAAAGTATTCAAAATACACACAAGCCTAATTAGAAGCATAGCCATGGAAAACGTAACTCCGCACAAAGATAAATGTAAAATTTTCGCTTTACTTTGGTGAAACATACACATAACTAAAATCAATACGCAAGGTATGGATTATAAGGATCGTAGTTTGTAGTAGGACTATATTACAAACTTTATTTTTATGTAATAGTACGTCTATAGATACAAATACAGTAATTAAGCATATGTTTATGTATATAAAGACATTCCATTTATATAGGTCTTCACACATATATAATTAAATAAATAAATATATGTATATATATATATATATATATATATTTATTTATTTATTTATTTATTTATTTATTTATTTATATTTATTTATATTTATTTATATTTATTTATATCGTCACACATCGTCACAAAAGGCGAGACACTCACATCTTAAAACACGCCCCAACTCAGTCAACAATTTGTTGTCTATAAAAAAAAACCAATTCGGCTGAGCATGGTACTGACCACACTATACGCTGAGATCACAGAAACAGATGAACGCCACTTCACCTGCCCCGTCTCCCGCGAGGTCCGAAACTCAACTGCATTATAAACATCTAAAAAGAAGTCACACCTCAGCTTACATTTTTTGGTCTTTTACAAAACTATGTTTATTTTTCCTATGATAATTTCTGAGCTCTGACTTTATAAGAAATAACAAACGAATAAACTATTAATTAAAGCTAATGTCAAAATAATAATAATGAATCAAAACTATACGTGGACATCGTTATTTCCCACTGTGCACTTTGATGTAGGAAAAATAAAACAAAAAACACTGTATGTGTTTCAAAAACACTCCACTAGACAGGGTTGCTAACGCACTGTCATCTCGGCCATCAAACAGAGCTTCTCCCAGGCATCTCTTCGGGGAGGGGGGGGGGGGGGGGCGGGGTTAGGGTTGGGGTAGTGTCGAATTCACAAATTATGAATTGTTGATAAGTAGAAAATAAAACAACTAGATAGCGGCGTATGCTACGTCGCGGGTCAGCTCGTATTCTTATATAACACTAAGGGAGATGCACATCACGATATAGACATGATTTTAAATCCATTTTTTAATCTATATACTACTAAAACTCAAGTTTGTTTACATGTTTGAATTTTTTTTTTTTTTTTGTTTGTCTGATTTGGTACTGTAAGGAAACTGCTCTATATGGGGGGCTGTAAACTAGTATGTAGGTAGAGAATAATGTTTGATTGCAGACAGACTGTTAATCACACATTTATTTAAAGACGTTAATTAATTTATTGATTTATTCATAGGTAGATTAAACACATTAATTTTAAAGTTTTAGAACAATGGCTAAACTTTGACCGAATAGTGACGTTTGATAACTCATTTTTTTTTATTTGTTATTGGGGAGAATCTGCATTATGTGTAGAGCTGTAAAATAGGATTTTGGGTGGTAAATATTATTCCTTGTTAAACACACTGTTAATTACAAACTAATTTAAAGCCGTTAATTAATTTATTGATATATTCATAGGTAGATTAACCACAGTAATATTAAAAGTTTAGAACAATGAATTTAGTAATGGTTAATTAATTATTTGTGTATACAACAATGTTTTCAATTACTTTTTCTTAAGGCCTATATGTGAATGATAAGGTTGACTATCAGGACCTCGCGGGGCACAGGGCAGGTGAAGTAGAGTTCACCTGTTTCTATGTTCTCAGCATATGAAGGGATAGTGTGGTCAGAGCCATGCTCGGCCGGAATCGTTTTTTTTTTAAAAATACAAACATGTCTGGGACTTGGCGGGGCACTGGGCAGGTGAAGTAGAGTTTAATAGAGTTTTTAAAATATAAAAAACGTCTTTTTGAATGTGGGGTCTGGTTATTTTGGGATGAAAAGTGCTGGCAGACGTGATGTCATTTATGGATGACCCCCGAAACCCACAGTTATCTAACTAGATAACGGGTAGTCTAGTTACTTTTAAAATAGAATAGAATCTCGTAGAAAAAAGAAATGCACAGCTAGTGAACGCCAAATAAAATGTGTATAATAGTGCGGAATATTATTAGTACTTTATAAATTCATTTATTGAGAAATCGGAAATAGCGTAAATTACTACTTCCGGTCCCCCCCCCCCCCTCCACCGAAGAGATGTCTGTGAGAAACTTTAGGCAAAGTTTAGGGGTACGACCTACGGCTCTATTTGGTATGAATGTGCAGTAACTACGTGTAGATCAATGTTACCAGATAAAGTATTGCGGTAATGTCTAGATTTAGCGTCTATACACAAAATAGAAATATTCGTTGATTGTTGAATTTTTAAAAATGACACTAAAAACGTTTTAATAACAAGTTTTTATGTGATAATTCAGTAAAAGGAGAAAATAAATTATTTTCTTTAAATATATAATAACACACCACTATTTAAATTAATATATTGAAAAGCGTGGGTCACTATAATATCTATTGGAATTCTTTACTAATATTTAAGAGGAAACTCACGCTTTCCTTGTCGTGAGCCCATTTATCAGGAGCCAATATATCGCGAACCTATTTGTCGGGGACCAATATGTCAGAGTCCATTTGTCGGGCGCCTAAATTTTTGGAGCCCCTTTGTCAGAAGCCTATATGTCGCGAGATAACATTACGGGAGGCCATTTTACGGGAGAATATATGTCGAGGTCCTATTGACGGGACTATTTTCACTGGGTCGCTTTGGCGGGGGGGGGGGGGGGGGGGGGCAAATTTGTTGGGGTCATTTTGACGGAGCCGTTTTGACGGGGCCATTTTGTCACGGACCATTTGGACGATGCACCCTAACAAAATATATCGTATTTTTTAAGCGGTCCAATAAAAAACGCTCGTGTTGAATATGAATAAAATAATTGTATCTAGCTTGGTCTATATTTATTTGAATGCAAAAACCTTTGCTACTATGGGGGCAAGGGGGGGGGGTGAACACTGTTTGACATGAAATGAACACAGTTGCTGTTTATTTGTGTTGGGCTTTCGATGTCCTTTTTGTTTTTGCTTTTCGTGAGAAAAATCGTATTATTTTAAATTTGTTTTCACCAATAAGAAACAAACATCAGCTCATAGAATTTTAATATTAAAACTTTCAGTTAAAAGGTAAGAACAAAAACCAAAAAGTTGTTAAGAAAGGAAATCATACTGAAATTTAATGTCTAAGTTATAAGTACGGAGTGGTCTAGCGGTAGAGATCAAGTCCCTGAGTCCACCCAGCTGTGATGGGTACCTAACTCACTTTAGGGAAATTAAAGGCGGCTAAGCATAGTGTATACCACACTATCCGTTCATATGCCGAGGTCACAGGAACAGGTGAACTCTACTCACTTGCCTAATAGACTGTCAAGTTTGGAAGGGGAACTTTACTTTCTTAATTAAGTTATAAGTAGTCGGGAACATTTAGAGCTAGCGATGAATTGTTAAAATCTGTGGGGTTTTCAATCCGTAGTCACACTTTAAAAAATACTTAATTTCAATACTGTTAGGTTCTAAAAATAATGTATGGCTTTTATATTCTAGAAGATGTAAAAAAAAGAAAACACCTATCATTTTATATTGCAGGAGATTTTGTAAAAAAAATGACTACACCTCTTATCATTCTCTTCATTTCATCGATTGCCATCGGTCTACTAAGCACTATATTTGTAGTGATAATAGTGTCTGTGGACAATTGGGAATACGTCAGCTTTAATCAAGAAACTCTGCAAAATATCAATAAATCATGCAGGTATTTATATTTTTTAGCACTTATAGTTAATTGTTAAGATGTACTCCCAATGCTGCACAAATAGCGAATCTCACAACTAACCTAGATGAAATTGAAATAAAACCTTACTCGAACCAAGCCATAACCCTTAAGATTTAGTTTTTTTCATGATGTCGAAACATCGCTCAATGTTTTTAGGCTAATGGTGAATACATTCACTTTAACAGGTAACAGAAAATTGAGAAACGGATGTTTATTATTATTTAAAATCATATTTTCTCAACATAGTATTTATTAATAAGACTTCAGTCACCATCAGTCTATACTTTTATAACTACATAAACGTTGCAAATACTTTTACACGTTGTATAATTAACAGTATCTCAGAAAGCTCAGAAATTTATTTGAAAAGATAAAAAAAACAAATGGTAGCTGCAGTGAGGTTAATGTAATTAGTAATAAAACAGATAGTATTAGTTACCTCACAAGTTAAAGACAGTTACAAGTACTATGGATGTTTCGACCCAAGGTCTTCGTCAGCACACAACAGTGTGATTACAGATTAGACAAATAAAGACAAACAGTAACACATTTTTTTACTTAGCTCGACAGTGAAAACACGTCTTGTCTGCTAGCCACGATATCCAAAAGAAAAGACGCGTGAGAAGGACGCTTGGACACCGTATAGGGGTGGGGTTGGGGGCGTGGTGTATGCGGGAGGGGGGGGGGGGGTTGTTAGGTGAAAGATATCTGTTCATTCAGGCCATCGGGTGCCCGTGTACCAAATTTAAGTATTAGTCGCGTTTCAGTGCTAAGGCGATTTTTAAAATTGTGGCAAAACCGAACGGCGGTTACACAAAAGTCCTTTTTTAAGTCATGCCCACTATTGTTGAAGTGTTTGGCCACAGGAAGACTGTCTTCATTGTAGATTGATCGCAGGTGTTGGCTAACCCTGTCAGACAATCTTTTCCCCGTTTGTCCAATATAAAAGATGTTGCAACGCCTGCACTGGATGACGTAAACTACGTTGCGGGACTCACAGTTGAAGTGATTTTTAATTTATTTGAGTGTACTTCATAACACAAACACACGTACACACACTTTAACACATAACCACACACACACACATAACCACACACACACACACACACACACACACAAAAAAAACCTCTACATATTTAGCAATGGAGAAAATCCGATTGATTGCATTTCCATATTTTCTATTTATTGTTGGTGGTGAATGTTTTGCTTCTTCATATTACCGCTTATGTTGACATGTTTCTCTTCTGTAATTAGGCTTGTTCGACATCTAGGAAGATTCTCTTAGCATAGCAAGGCCACAAAAGCTTACCGAATTAATACGTTTTCCCGCCCACACTAACAGAATTTAGATAGCAATCAGAACAGATACTTAACATCTTAACACAACATTTCTACCAAACACAATAGTGCGCAAACATAGTGCGCACACAGAAAAATGCGCAACTAAGAAAATTACGCAAACAAAAAAATTGACACACAATCGCAATTTTCCGTTGCGCATCTTTCTGGTCACCACTTGCTAACATCAATTTAGAAAAGCTTGGTGATGCGTTGTTAACGAAGAAAACAGCCATTTTCTTCGACCGGGCCTAGAGCTATTTTAGTGATCTCTATAGTGTGTTTTGTCGAGCTCGGCATTTTTTTTAACCATGCTCAGAGATGATAAACAAAGTAAAAGTTTTAACAGAAAAAAGGAACACCTTTCTGAAAATGCTAATAAAAAATTTATACGGTGATAGAATCACATGGTAATTTTCAAATTTCTTAGTTTTTTTAACATTTAAAATATTTAGTCTAATATGCATTTTTTCTTTCTCGTATATACGAAGTATAGAGAAAGTCTTGTAATCGTGCAAAAAAAAAAAAAAAAAATCGAGATTTTTGCAAATCTCGACGTTTTACACCTCACTGATACGGAAAAACATAATTTTGCAATCTTGTCCGTATGTCTGTGTGTCTGTATGTGTGTCTGTGTGTGTGTGTAAACACGATAACTTGAGTACCGTTAGAGCTAAGTTGATGAAATTTCATATATAAGTATTTTATAAAAATGGTAGATCCATATCAACTTTTGAGCAATTTCCGATAACCGGAAGTGCTACTTTTTCTACTTTGAATTTTTCAAAAGCCTATACTTTGAGTACTATTTCAGATAGATAAATGAAATTTCACATGTAAGTAAAAGATCTAATTCTCTACCTTCTGTCAAATTTTGAGTAATTTCCGTTGAACGGAAGTAGTAATTTACGCTATTTCCGATTTCTCAAAAACGCATGTAAATTTATAAAGTACTAATAATATTGCGCACTATTATGCACATCTTAATTTGGTGTTCACTTGGTGCGCAATTCTTTTTTCTACGAGATTCTTTTCTATTTTTTTAAAAGTTTAAGTAATTAAAATCATGTCTATATTCCGAGTTGCCATCCCACGTAGTGTTATATAAGAATATTCGAGAAAGTTTAGGGGAGATTACTCCCGGTTTATTATTATCGAAACTATGAAGTGAAAAGCTTCTATATTGGGTATTATACTCGTTCACTAAATTTAATCAGGCGCACCCGCCGGCGCCGCGCACGAGTAGGGTGTGATTTGGCGCCAAGAGAGTATCATGTGAGCGCTTTGATGCATACGTTCATTTTGAACAGTGCGATAGGCTGTAGATAAAAAGGGTTACAATAGTCGTTCACTAAATTGAATCCAGGGCGTCCTCCGGCCCCCTACGGGATGCTATTTAGCGCCCCGGCCTTCCCGTGAGCGCTATGCCGCTTAAGTCCGTTTTAGTGAGTGCAATAGACTATGGATAAGATGGGGTATTATAGTCGTTTACTAAGTTTAATCAGGCGAGTCCACCGGCGCCCCGTCAAGGTGCAATTTGGCACCCCAGACTATACTGTGAGCACTATAGGGCCTACGTTTATGTTTGTTTTTAAGTTCGAGTTTAAGTTTGCATTATTTTCTAAGTTATTGTTTGCGTTTAGGTTTGTGTTTGCGTTTGTTTTTACGTTTACTTTTACGTTTGTGTTTGTGTTTGCTTTTTGTGTTTGCTTTGTGTTTGTGTTTTTTTTTTTCGTTTTTTGTAATGTTTCGTTTGTTTTTGTGTTTGTGTTTTGTGTTGTTGGTTGTGGTTCAGGTTAATCCAAAAAGTAATATATTTCCTATAATATGCTACTAAATAAACTCACAAGTCTTGGTCCCTTTACAGATGATTTTTTGTACATAGGCCAGTGCTAGTTTTAAATAGTCTACACATTCAAAAGAGTAGACAGGCGTGTTTTCTATTTAAATCAAAATTTTAACACAACAATTTTCGGAAATAGGCCTATATAAAAATGTGGGAACTGTGAAATCTGACGTTTTTTTATCACAACAAGCTATCTCATAAAGAAGGACCGACATTTTTTGGCACATAAATTATATTTTAAATACAACTAGGCGTTAAACAAGACAAATATGCTTGTTAAAAACCTTCAAATATTATACTTGGATCACCCTGGACCCAAAAGGGTTTTAGGGAATATATAGGGAATATATAAAACTAACCGTCGGTATACGTGAAATATAGGCCTATATATTTTAATCTTATACATGTTTGAGAAAAATATTTTAGCGTATTGGTCAAAACGCAATATGCTTTACTACACGTTGAAGAACATTAGTGACCATGCAAAGAAATAACTAAATAGCTAAAAATCCGACACATTTAAAATAATATAGGCTACTAATACCTATTACACAAATTAAAACCAAATTAAATACATTATTAGTCAACAGAACACCATATTAAATGCACACACTGATTAAGAGACTTGAATGATTCCGTTAAAAACCCGGCTATTAAACGGTCATTATGTTGTTTTTTACTTTCTCGTATATACGAAGTATAGAGAAAGTATTCTAATCGTGCACAAAAATCACTTGAAATTTTACACCTCAGTCCTTCATCACATCCGAAGTATAGAGGACTTATTTTAATCGGGCAAAAATTATCAATCCAGATTTATCAAAATTAAGAGGTTTTATGCGTAATCCAGTCTGAAAAACTGGGCTTTGCAATTCTGTCCGTATGTCTGTGTGTGTGTGTGTGTGTGTGTGTAAACACGATTACTTGAGTACCGTTACAGCTAGGTTGATGAAATTTCATACATAAGTATTTTATCAAAATCGTAGATCCGTATCAACTTTTGAGCGATTTCCGATAACCGGAAGTGGTACTTTTTCTACTTTGAATTTTTCAAAAGCCTATAACTTGAGTACTATTTCAGATAGATAAACGAAATTTCACATGTAAGTATAAGATCTAATTCTCTACCTTCTGTCAAATTTTGAGTAATTTCCGTTGCCCAGAAGTACTAATTTGCGCTATTTCCGATTTCTCAAAAACTAATGTAAATTTTTTAAGTAGGTACTAATAATATTGCGCACTATTATGCACTTTTTTATTTGGCGTTCACTTGGTGTGCAATCTTTTGTCTACGAGATTTTATTCTATTTTTAAAACTTTAAGTATTTAAAATGGATTAAAAATCATGTCTATAGCCCGAGTTCTCATCCCCTGTTGTTTTATATAAGAATATTCGAGAAAGTTTAGGGGAGATCACTCCCGGTTTATTTAAAGTAATGTGTTTTAGTTTGACCGATAAAATTGTACATATTCATAGCGTACGTCTTGATAAGCAGATCTATAGATACAAATCAAATTTGAATGAAATAGATCCTTTCTTTATATTCTAAAATCGGAAGATTCACATATAAAAAAACAAATTGATAAAAAATGTTATAGGATGACTTTGTGTGTCTTGAACCCGTACTTCCAGCATGGTATCATTTACTATTACACTATCATCTCAGCTATTTAGACACTATAGAATTAGAATAGAATAAAAGTCAATAAAAGAGGTAGGTAAGAATTAAAGTAACTTAAGCGAATAGGCCCTATTCTTTCGATTTGCTCCCCCCTTTCAAACTTTCGATTTGCACCCCCCCCCCCTCAAACTTTCGATTTGCACCTCTTAAAACACAATTTAACACTAATTAATCACTTAATTAAGTGGGATTATAATTTTTTTCCCTATATATTTTGCTAGTTTTTGGCTTGGTTTCACCCCCTAAATGGTGTCACCCGGTGCGGTCCGCACCCCCCCCCCCCCCGCCCTCTCGCTACGCCTCTGCAATTTAGTATTATTTTAAAAGGTATTTCACCATAGCAAATTTTTAAAATTCAAAATTAAAGTAATTCATGAGTGTTTTCTGTTACAAAAACTATCTAGCTGACTTTATTATTGTTAGAAAAAGAAGAATCAATGATTAAATAGCCGATATTTATGTTAGTTTATAAAATTTTAGAACTCCAGAAAAGTTTTTTTTTTCAAGATGGCAACCATTTTTCAAAACAATCACTGATGCTTGCAAATATTTTGCTTATGTGCCTAGGCTCATGTACAAATACAACTAGCAGGCCCTATATTTAGACTAATGTATTATTACAACTAGCAGTACTTTACCTAGGCCTATGTTTCAATAAACTACCAGCCCCTATCAAGTCATATGCCAGTCTAGTTTTCTCGCATTTTGTTGCAAAATAAAAGAACTCTAAAACTCTTATTTAGAAAGCAATATAATAAATGTGATATTAATATTTCAGTTCACAGAACAGCCAGCCATCTTGTCAAGTTGTCCAGATTTCAGCAGACCCGATCTTGTTTCAATACGACGACTACAGAAATAAAAAACAAAACAATGACAGTAACTATATATACTCTTACCAAAGTGGCCTATGGAGAACTTGCGATTGTCTTACAGGTAGTGGCATATATATATATATATATATATATATATATATATATATATATATATATTTATATATATATATATATATATATACTAGCTGCATACCCGTGCTCCACCACGGTGAATCGTTTGCGGAAACGCAAACGAAAACTTAAGCACGAAAAAAAAAAAAAAAAAAAACACTTACGAAAACACAAATACAAACGCTAACACCCAACCACAAACGCTAATACAACACGAAAACACAAACGCAAACAAAATTGCAAACACAAAGAAAACACAAACATAACGCTTAATCCGAGCAATTTGTATTCACATTTTTTTTACTTCAATAGCAATATCTAGTATGAGTTGAAATTCTTTTCAAATTACCTCCCCTGACATAATTATTCAAACTTTTAATTTACTTTAGTAAAATGAATCAATGTCTTAGCATGTAAGCGAAATATCATTTGTTATTGATCCGTTTAATATGTTTTAGCAATGTGCGTGTACTTAATATTTTCTTCACGTTCTTTTGTTGACGTATGCAAAAAAAAAAAAATTTGCTGAGTATAAAAATATTTAAGTCCCTACTCCAATACTTATAATAATACAATGCGATGTAAGTAAATTGCCCGGCATGTGTTGATGTTACTTTTATGGTTCCAAACCTATAGCGCTAATGGACTGACGGACTGATGTACTGACTGATGAAACCATCTTAAAATATTACGTCAGACTTTCTTCTGAGACCAGGCCAACTCGCGGGGTCGGGCACGCTAGTATATATATATATATATATATATATATATATATATATATATATATATATATATATATATATATATATATATAATTTCCAGCGGAATTTAATTAAGCGGTGAAATTGATTTTATGACATTCAAAAAACTGTCTGACAATCCCTGCCAAAACAATTGAATTAAATGCTATTTAAACTAGCCGTACATATTTTTTGCCGTATAAAATCGCTAATTTAGTCCTTACCACATAAAAGTAATTATTTTACTCCATTGTTTTAGTGCTACTATGTTTTAATGACTTTTTCAGACCAACTGAGATACAAATATGTAAAGGCTTCTTCTTCTAACTTCGATGGCCAAAAGTGTTTCACTTTTGTCACTGATTACAACGAAGACTCAGACCTGTTAGCATCAACGCCAGGCGCCAAACAAATTGCACGTAAGTTTTAGTTGAAATGGAATCCTTGAATTCTGAGCTTAATTTTATCTGTCGACACCTGCTCAGAACAATGTCGTGTTACATTGTTAATGTGATTGAATTTTGGTATACTACACAAAACACCCCAACATTTCCGTTGTTCCACTGATAGCTCTGTACAATTCATCCTTTTAAATCGCGTGTTTCCAAACTGTGAGTGCGACCTCCAAGGGGTTTTCAGCTGTTTCCATGGCCGCGGTAAATGAATGATTCACACTTTGCTCAACCGCTTTTACTTTCCCTAATGTGCGTGTCCCCAGGAGCGCCTTATGGGTTCAATCAAGTCTGGGATTCGAACGCTTTACCATCCGACCACGCCGTCACACTCTGTTTAAAGAACACTACGATAAAAACATGGACTATAATCACGACGTTCATCTTTTCTATATTGTAGTTCGCAAGTGGTTGAAAGGAAATTTGAATCTTGTCATGCATAGATGATAGCAGTAGCATATCAAACTGCTATATTAGTACTTAAGTACAGAAAAATAGGCTTAAAACCTGAAACTTTAGGAAAAAAACAATTTATATAATAAAATGTACAGCTTTTTGAATAATCTACAGATTAAGAAAATTAAAATTTGAAGGAGGAAAACGAACTTCATCAGTACTTCACTGAGCTGACAGAAGAAAAAAAAATGTTAATAGACCACATTGTTACGAAATCTATTCGTTGCTTTCCATGATATAGACAGCATTCTCTAAGAACAACAACATAATTTTCTGGATGTGTAGAATGATTTCTCGGAAATGAAAATGTGTCCAAATCATTTTCGTGATGTAGGTATACTTCAACCGAAAAAGTGACGAGGCTATCTAGTGTATGGAGTTTAAGCACAATTGTTTTCAGATCTCTGTTCTACTAGATTTTCATCTCTACTTAGCGTTTACAAAATACACCCGCAAAGTTTAGAGTTGGTTAATAACATGCAATTTCAACAATCACATTTAACTATTTAAAAAGAAAAAAAAATTAAACAATACTAAACACTGTCGGGGGGGGGGGGGGGGGGGATAAAAAAAAAGGGGTCGCCAACTGATAAAGTTTGGGAACCTGTGTGTTAAATAGTTGCACTTATTGATCTTAGGTCTGCACCGTTCATCTTGTTATATTGTTTCATTGATTGATCATAGGACTGCACAATTCAGCTGCATCCTGTTACATCGTTGTACTGATTGATCTAAGCTCGGCAACTGTTGTTGGAATCATTGGTCTCATACAGAAACAGGTCGCTTCTTGCATGGTCACTGGAGTCCTGTACCTCATGGCGGGTTTGTATTCTAATGTACAACACAACTAACAATGCTAAAACAATCATGACCAACATTCATTTGCTGATCGAGTGATCGCTAGTACTTAACCTTGTTATCTCTCCTTTTATTCTTGAATTTAGTAATCTTTTAATTAATTTAATGATTAATCTAATCTATCAATACATATAATAAAGCGGGAGTGATCTCCCCTAAACTTTCTCGCATGTAGGCCTACTTTTATAACACTACGGGGGGGGGGGGTGGCAACTCGGGATTTTGATATTATTTTTTATCTATTTTTAATTACTTTAATTTTTAAAAATAGAAAAGAATCGCGTAGAAAAAAAATTGCGCACAACGTGAACAGCAAACAATGTGTGTATAATAGTGCGGAATATTATTACTTTATATAAGTTTTTTAAGAAATCGCAAAAAAGCGTAAAGTATTACTTCCGTTCAACGGAAATTACTCAAAATATGACAGAATTAGATATTTTTTTTATTTATGTGGGAAATTTAGCCTAACCCTAGTGGTCTGTTTACCTCAGTCTACCTTAGTTCACCTAACCCTAGTGGTCTGTCTACCTTAGTCTACCTTAGTTCATCTAAACCTAGTGGTCTGTCTACCTTAGTCTACCTTAGTTCACCCAGCTCTTGTGGTCTGTCTACCTTAGTTCATCTAACCCTAGTGGTCTGTCTACCTTAGTCTACCTTAGTTCACCTAACCATAGTGGTCTGTCTACCTTAGTCTACCTTAGCTCATCTAACCCTAGTGGTCTGTCTACCTTAGTTCACCTAACCCTAGTGGTCTGTCTACCTTAGTTCACCTAACCCTATTGGTCAGTCTACCTTAGTTCATCAACCCCACATAAATTCGACATGCCTCTACATTTAGGATGGGGTTTTTGCAGCGTTATGTTTGCAACTGTTACTAACACAGAAGTCAATGTTAAATGTTACGACCTTGGGTCCTTGAATCCACCCAACGTTTCTGCATCCTTGACTCCAGCTGCGTAAAGCTTTCATGAACAAGGCATAGGGGCCTAAGATACAATGGGGCCCTTTTCCCTAGTTGAAAAATTGAAACTTTTACATTGCAATTTTGATATTGGCTTTATATAAATAATTTAAAAATGAAGTTGAAAATGAACCTTCTTTCCTGCAGTAGAAAATATTTAAAAATCTAACTAGATTTTGTGACGGAATGTAGACTGCTATAATTTGTTTTATGTGCTGAAAAATAGATAGTTTGAAAATATTTTTATCGCAATTTCCATTCTGGAGAATTGCGTTTATTAACCCGTCATTTCTGGATGTATGAATGGATGTATGGATGTGTGTCCGCAGCTTTAAGTCGTATCTCCTCCTCAACGAAGCAATATCGATGACTAGTTCCAAAAGCAATTATGTTAAGCAAGTTACGAGGATGAACATAGGCCATAAAAATTCTGGGTTTCTTTCATGGATTTCCCGGAAAAGCCAAAAAACCTCGAAAAAATGCAGTTTTTGGCCCATATCTCGGCAACCAGACCACTTAGCGACTTGAAACATTTACCAATCGATTCCTGCCATAATTTAGAACAATATTGCCGAAGAAAGTCACGTGTCATCACGTTCAATAGCTGCGCCATCACGTTCAATGGCTGCGTCATCACATTCAGTAGCTAGGCGCGCAATGGTTTTTAGTAATGTAACTCTATTGTAAATAAAACATGTATTTTAACCAATGGTTTTACTAACCCTGCTCTTGATTTACGCTACGACAGAGCTATTTTTAAATAACATAAGGAAATTGCGCTAAAATTGTCACTAGACTTTTTAATTACCTTGTTTAAATATAATTGCTAATGAGATGCTTAATTTTTATTCTGATGTCTTTTTTGTTTTGTTTTTGTCAGCTTTGTTTGGAGTGTTTGGACTATCAATGTTTCACACGAAAGACTTTTATGAGAAATACCATTGCTATGGACTAGAGGAGATACCCAGTAAACTGTGTGAGGCCAAGGAAGTGGAGCTAGGCTATGCTGTACCCTTGGCTTGGCTGGCTGTCTTTACCTGTACTCTTTCAAGTCTTGTGTGGTTGTGTGTATCGCGTGCACTGAGGGTTATCAGAGCCAAGACAATGCTGTAATTCTTTACCGACTAAATCAGTTGCTCAGGAACGCGATCTATTGGCCAAATTACTCTCAACTTACCTGTGAACCAACCATGAATGGAGTGAACATTCTTGAGTTAAATAAATGATTATTATGACATATTTTAAGAGAGAAATAAAATGTGAAGATGGGATACAGCAATCATCTTCTAGATGTCAAAATACTGCAAAGTAGCTACATGTTAATTTACTGACAGCTGCGTAAATGTCAATATGCTGACAGCTACCCATATATCAATATATTCACAGCTGTCTATATGTCAATAAAATGGCATCCGCTTGACTGTAAGATAACATTATGTGGATATATGTTTGCCTGTAATTCAGCTCTTAAGCTTTAATTTGGTCACATTAGTACAGCCTTATTTAATGAGATTTAGGACATTTTTAAATTCTGAAAATGTGTTTTTTTTAAGTTTTATTCCATGTTTATTGCTTCTCAAACATTCCAAAATACTTTTGTACCAATTTTTTTTTTATCTCAAATCAATAAAAAGTGTTTTAGACTTTAAAAAGAGAGACTGAATATATCTTTGTTTTTCTACTGTCACTCACACACGAGTAGAAGAAATAGTCTACCCATGGCAGTATGGAATTGGAATGGTCGGCTTCCCGAACAAAGTTACGAGTAGAAGAAATAGTCTACACATGGCAGTATGGAATGGTCGGCTTCCCGAACAAAGTTACGAGTAGAAGAAATAGTCTACACATGGCAGTATGGAATGGTCGGCTTCCCGAACAAAGCTTCACCCAGTGGCGTAGGCAGGGGGGGGTCATAACCAGGGGCGGAACTACAGTGCCGCCAGACCCCGCAATGCGGGGGGGGGGCCCAGGCGGATTGGGGGCCCAAAAATCCTGGCTAAATTATACATTTTTTTAAAAAATTTAAATTAAAAAAATTAGGTGGATGTCGAGTTATCTTTCTTCTACTGTTACAAACAAACACGATAGTCGGCAAACGTCTTTGAGAAAAATGCACAGACTATAGCTCGAGAGACCGCCAGACATATAGACAACTTCAAAGACGCAACCTACCGTTCTTTTTTCCCACGTTTTCTTTAACTTGCTTGCTCTGTTTGTTTGTTTGTTTTTCCAATCAAATCTTGCGATCGAAATTTCTGGCACTTCCCAGTTAGCTAGCGCGCTGAAATTTTCAGGGAAGCGTTCTTTTGGATGACCATAGAATATTCAATTGTTATTATTACTAAATTGATCAATGGAAACATTTTATTGAGCATTTTAGACCGCTATATAATCTATATATATAATTCTCCTCTGCGAGCCATTAGAAAAAAAACGAGCGACGCGTAGCTCGCCTCTCTCTTGCCGCGCGCAGTGAAGCGAACGATCCCACGTCGCGACAGGCTTAGGGGTAGATAATTTAGTTTGAACCGACTTTAAACTTACAGGAGGTAACTATTACCACTGGTGGCCAGTTTGGGGGAGACGATATGGTCGAGTGGTTGGGCACACGATTGCTATCCCACTCGACACGGGTTCAAATCTATGTGTTCTAGTCAGTAACCAGCCCTCGTCCTAACCGCTATCAACTAACCTCTGACAATCATTCACTTGCGATTGAGACCGAAGAAGAAAGGGTCTCTCGTTTTTTACGAGTTGTCTTTTTACGAGTTGTCTTCGTTTACCCAAAAAAAGTGAAAAGATAAAATCGATAGCAAGATTTCAATGCAAACAAACAGACAAAGACTAAAAAGTAGAAAATAATAATCATTAAAAAAGTTTTAAAAAACTCACGTTTTCTGATTGAACTAAAGAGTAGAAAATAAATACTATACATCACAATAATGCAAGCGATCACTCTACTATAAGCGATGAAAAACGTGGGGCGCCGTGATTTTCTTACAGTTTCTAATACTGTTGACTCTCTACAAGCTCCCTAATAAAAGTCAATAGTATTATCTAATCAATAGTAATATAACTTTTACTTCGGCGCCCCACGTTTTTTTAGGATACAATGATCTTGCTTTTAAGCCTAAAAATAACCAAAAGATCTATACAGGGGCGGAACTACAGTGCCGCCAGACCCCGCAATGCGGGTGGGGGGGGGGGGGGCGGGTGGGGGGTGGGGGGGCAGGCCGTTTAGGGGCCCACTGCTGACCATAATTAGTATTTTTTAAAATTTTGAATTTAATTTTCGTGCATTTTTGCCATGATATTTAGTTTGTAAAAGAAAAACACTGTAGCTGCGGTACGATTATCTTTATTTTACAGTCACTATACCACGCTCTTCAGCAAAAAAATAAAATCCATTACACAAAATACAGTGTAAAATATAGGCAACGCTTCAAATTTGAATGACACATTTGACTCGTTGCCCCCCTTTGGTAGCTAAATAGAGGACACGTAACTGTTTGACCGATCCTCCAAAGTGTACTGTGACGGATGGGGCAGGGGATGGGGATCAAATTTCTTTTTATTTATAGTTGTATTTTTTAAGGCCGTCAAGGCCGAGTTCTATTTCCCCACAATCAAACACACGCTGTCGCCGGCAAAATTCTTTTTAAAAAAACAACAAAGACCATAGCACGAGAAGCCGCTACATATGAAGTGGCTTTCATGATGCGCGGTTCTACTTTGCGGCATAAGTTAGGGACCCGCCGAAATCCATTGTACATTTTTCAATGTTAATATGTGTTTGTGATAGTGGTTGAATTTGTATTATGTACTATCTTGAATCCTACAAATAATAAAAAAGAATATAATACTAGAAACTTCGTTTTTATATACGTTTACTTGTTTTTTACTTTTACAAGAAATATCATAGTAAACTTTTAAGGCCTATACTTGGAATTATCTCCCCTGAGTAAGTTTTTTAATGGGCGGTGGTACATAGGCGCTTTGTTGTCTCTTTCAAGATTTTTCCCGAGCCGACCCCCATCCCATCCCTCTTTTTTAGCCTCGCAAGTATCGAGTAGACCAATGTATCGTTTATGAACTACTTCCTAACCGTACAATTCACCACTTTAGCACATTTTGTCTGACATTAGACAGCACTAGTCAACATATATTGATTTATTTGCATAGTATTAGTATTAGGCACATCTAATTCACAAAACAAGGAAGGTAAGATTATTTTTTATATAATTATTTAGAAATTAATTAGAACGTTTAAAATTAATTGAACATTATTATATAATTAATAGTCAATTACTATTTATAAATGACGTTATTGAGGTGGGGGTGTGTGAGGGTCTGGCTTTTTGTTAGTCGTTAAAAAATGTGACGTAATTGTGGATTCCCCCCCCCCCCCCCCCCCAAATCAGAAGGTTATCCGACGCGTGAGCTGGCCACATATAGTTGTGCATGTGAAAAACACTTTTCTGTCTATTTTGCATTACTGCAATCGCCATGAAAACTTTGGAAGCTGTTGAGTACAGCCCAGGGGAGGAACTACAGTGCCGCCAGACCCCGCAATGCCTGGGGGGGGGGGGGAACAAGCCGTTAAGGGGGCCCACAGCCGCCCATAAAAAAAATTTTTATAGTTAAAATTATTTTCCTTGCATTTATCACCTGAGACCGCTAGATTAAGACGGCATTTTGAGACCATCCCAAATTTGGTACTGATAGATAAAATCACATTGGTGCTTTGTTGTCCCTTTTAAGTTCCTTTCTCAGACCTCCCCTCCCGCTCTTAGCCTTATAAAAAGAGAATAGATAGCGCCTCAACAACTAAGCTGGCTCATATCGGTGGTAGTGTAGACAAACTAGCGCTCCAACAACAACGCTGGCTCGAATCGGTGGTAGTTTTGATAAACTAGCGCTCCAACAACTAATATCCAAGAAATAAAGTGCCTACATTGTTTACGTTTAATAACCACTGTTCTAGAGAACAAGGCAGACGTCTCAAATGAATACACGAATGATAGCGTGTTATATATATATATATATATATATATATATATATATATATATATATATATATATATATATATATATACATATATATATAAATTAGTTTCGTCACTGGCAACTTGATAGTGGTTTTGTAAGTAACAAACAGAATACACATCTAATACAGTAGTTATGTTATATAGTAGCTAAGACATGCTGTTGCGTAAAATTTAAAAAAAAAAATGAACACAGCTGTAGTGTGAAAGATAGGCAAACGTTCAAACCACTTGCATAAATTATTTCCCTTTTTCAAATAGTCAAATAGGGGTGCTCAAAAACTCTTTTTAATAATCAAATTAAAAAGCAATTACTTATCTTAATTATTATTTTAAAAAAAATAAGTACTAAAGAATGATATTGTATAAAAATGAAACGTAGTTAAAGTTAATAATATAAATACAAAAAAACATAAAAATAAACATAACACGAGACACCATTACTTATACAAAGCTTTATACACTTTTGACCGACTTAATGATTAGAAGTATATGATATACATGAAAACAGAGATTTTTTTCAAAACAGACCAATGCACTCATACACATGACATGCTGTTGTGATTAGATTTACATGAATTTTTTTTTCAAAACTCGATCAGGCCAGAAAGGAGTATCCTATATTCGTATTGTGTTTGAGTGTGTGTGTGTATATATATATATATATATATATATATATATATATATATATATATATATATATATATATATATATATATATATATATATATATATATATATATATATATATATATATATATATACATATATATATATATACATATATATATATATATATATATATATATATATATATATATATATATATATATATATATATATATATATATATATATATATATACATATATAGGGGGCCCAAAAAATTTTTTTGCGGGGTGGCCCATTTTATCTAGTTCCGCCACTGGTCATAACCCCCCCCCCCATAGACCCATCGGTATATATATATATATATATATATATATATATATATATATATATATATATATATATATATATATATATATATATATATATATATATATATATAAAGTATGGGGGGGGTGTGCAAATCGAAAGTTTGTCCCCGGGTAAAAATTGGACCCCCCCCCCCCCCTTGAGACGATCCTGGCTACGCCACTGGCGTCATCTTCTGGTAGATTCTAGACTTGAGTCTTAGATGCAATAAGAATCTGATGTGCAATGATATCCGAATATTATCATATTAATGAATTATTTTAACGCAGCTTTATTTTGAGTAAATAATTACAGTTTTATCGTAGTATTTTTTGTTGGCATAACAAGCCTATAATTCGTACCTGTGTGAAATTAGTACCGACATAATTTTACTTAACCCAACCGATGGAAAGTCGCGTTAGCACGTTTAAATTATTCTACACCATGAAATATGTGTGCTGACAAAAATAAACCGGGAGTGATCTCCCCTAAACTTTCTCGAACATTCTTAAATAACTCGGACTATAGACATGATTTTTAATTACTAAACCTTTTAAAACTAGAATAGAATCTCGTAGAAAAAAAAATGCGCACCAAGCGAACGCCAAAACAAAATGTGCATAATAGTGCGGAATATTATTAGTACTTTATAAATTT